GGAACCCACAATTTGATCATTTCCGGCGCTTTCAGTCGCTTAATCGCCTTTTTTTAATGTCTGGAAATTTTGTCTTTGAACACTTTCCAGTGAACGCGCTTCTTTGTCTGTATGTGTGTTTCTGCGATTTAGAAGAACGTTCTGAAGTTTTGATTGTAACCTGCTAACTGCTATTTTCTCTATGTGGTTTAGATCTCCCTTATCTTGTACTGTGTTTTCGTTTCAAATGTATGTATTTTAGGCCAAGCAACTAATTCGTCTTGGGATACATCTGTTCTTTCACTGAATCTGGTACTTCAGATGTGAGACGCTGCTAGCGTTGTCTCCTGATCTACTTGAGATTTTCTATTGATATTTGTTTTGTTAGTGCATGCTGGGCTGTATACTGAAGATTTCTACAGTTTTCATGCTGTGCGAATACTCGTGTTATAAATTTTGTACTGTGCTTCTTGTTTTGTGTTCAAAAGGTCTAAGCCGCTTAGGATAGTATTTAAAAACAATCTTGAATGACTGTCGACGGCATGCAGCAATCCACCATGAATATGCTTAGCTTCTCAGAAGTAGACTATCTGTAGGAAATTTCGGCTTTGCTTAGTTTTTCATCACAAAACCCTCGGTTTTGGACTAGCTACCTTCAGTCATCCTTATCGCAAAGTAAAAAATTCATCACTTGCTGGGTGCTGACACCAAAAATCTTGATAAACATAGTCCTTCTTAAGGACTCCACGCGATATTGTTTTCATATTTAGCTTCTTTTTATGAAATTTAGGAAAACGGTTTCATCTCCTTTATAGACTTTAACTTCATGGGGCTCCTCACCATATTGCGCAAGCAAAGGGAGAGAGAGCGAGAAATACGCGTGTTGATTCTTGGCTTAGACAATGCTGGAAAGACCACAATCACCAAGAAATTTCTGGGTGAAGATCTTAATATGGTAGAACCTACTTTGGGTAGGTATACTTTCATTCCAGGTTCTTGTTCCATACTTACATGTCACGTTTTAGGATTCAACATCAAAACAGTAGACTTTCAAGGATTTACCATTAATTTTTGGGATGTTGGTGGTCAAAAGAGCCTTCGCTCATACTGGAGGAATTATTTTGAGCAAACAGATGCTTTAATCTGGGTTATCGATTCCGGAGACCAAGGTAATGTCTCAAAACTTTGGCCTTTCTAATTCCACTAAGCTTCTCACATTACGAAGTGTTGTTACCGTTCTCCAATTATTGACTTCAGTCTACCAAAACCGTTTTTAAATCAGCAGCTACATATGAAGCCAAATGTCGGTTATTTAGTGAGAACAGCGTTTCTTTTGGGAATCAGAAACTTCTTAGATCTTTCCTCTTATGAAATTCGGTTGAAATCTGCTTCGTTCACGTAGTGATTAACCTTAACTGATACACTGCGTAAAAATTGTTCCGCTCATGTTGTTATTTGACGTTAATCAATCGCAAGATCATTGTGAAGGATTGATCACTTTAGTTTGAGTTATTTTTTTCCTCAATATTTCTGCTTAATCTAATCTTCAACTTCTTCAATCAATCGTTTCAGCATACGTCTTTTCTAGTTTTGTGTCATGCAATGTATAATTGCATATTATAGAGCGCTTATTAGCCTGTCGGGATGAACTTAGGTCTCTGTTGGGGGAAGAACGGCTTTCTGGTGCAACTTTGCTGGTTCTTGCTAATAAGCAGGATCTGCCCAGCGCTATACGCGTCGCTGACATAGCGAAGGTAAGCATGACTTGGTACAGCATTAAGGATGTAAAACATGTACAACGAAGAGAAATTTTTGCAATAACCCGATTTGTTCATTCTAAGAATGCCCAAGAAACAATGAAGGGATGTAATTAGCTCTATCACGAGAGCAGTGATTATCTGGAAAACATATTTTGGCGATACTTACCATTCTTAGTCTGAATTTATACTCGAATTTTGAAAAGTCCTAATTGCCATATGCCAAGCTAAAAATTCTTTATCCTACTGTGCTCTTCTAAGCGTTGATTCTGTGGATTTCAGCTACTCGAATTGAACGAAATCAAGTCGCATCATTGGCGAATTTTCAGCTGCAGTGCGATGACTGGCGAGAACCTGCTCGAAGCTGTCAGCTGGATGTGTGATGATGTGGCAAGCCGAATATTCACGCTTGAGTAATCCCCTTGCTTTGATTGTACGTATACCTTCTTTTCTTTAAGTGTATCTATTCCCCCC